ACAAATAAAGAAACTAGCCTCAATACTTGAGTTAGTATATTATTTAAAAAAAAAAAAAAAAAAAAAAAAACCTTCCAGGGAATGACTGTCTTCAGGCTCCTACACCGGCACTCAACAACGCATCAACCTTTCCTAGCCCACCTCAAAAAAAAAAAAAATCAAACAAAAAAGTATACTGTATCCCTCTTATACACATGAATGCAATCATCACCATCCTGCTCTTTTTCTTTCCTTTCTTCACCATCTCAGAAGAACAAATGCGCGTCCATCAGAGGTGGTTAACTCCAGTACCTTCCTGGCCACACAAAAAATAAAAAATAAATAAAAATAAAGCAAGAAAACCCCCACTTACTCGAATGCGCCGTGTGTGATAAATGGGCAACTTAGTACCCTATTCGTTTCATTTCGTTCTTCTTTTTTTTTCCTCAGAGAAAATCGCCTCGTTTACTAAAAACCAGCGTCACTCGGGAGGAATTTCAAAATAGCCAGGAAACTATCGGGGAGAAAAACGTTGGCATATTTCTTCACCCAACTTCAAAGTATTGTACTGTACAGTACGGGTCGATTATTTTCCAAGGCACCTTTCCGTTAAAAGTGTTTCGGAAGAAATTAACATCGGATTAAAGACTCCGATTAAATCGATAAATCGATTCTGATTGGCTTTGAGGCAACTGTGAGTACCGTAGTTCGAAGATTGTTTTTCAGGTACGGTACTTGATTGGGCACAAGGCGAATTCAAAAATGAATAAATAAATCAGGACCAATATCTTTGAACGCACCGTAATCACAACGTCAAGTTGATTAAAATATCTAATCGAATCACGAAGGCAATTTTTTGTGTGCAGATTTTGACTCACAATGCACATCTTGAACCCAATGGTTTCAAATAAGCGTGCAAAACGTTAAACTTACAGGGTGAGAGAAAAACATGCAGTTACTTACACGAAAACGATACTTAGCCATTTATATTACTGAGCATAGGTTCCAAGTATATGTTGAATAACTTTTAAAAACAAAATACTGTACAATGCAAATCTGAGAAAGAATATCCTTTTTTTCTTGGATCATTTAATTTTATTTCATGATTAAATGCGACTCATAATACTCCTTCCAAGGGTTAATCAACCAGTGCAAAAACTAAGGCAAACCTGTCAGTAAGGTAGTTTATCAATGCAATTAATCGTAATCGAGTAACAGTACAATTGCATTTTAAAACATCAACAGTTTCTGGACCACCCGGTAAGTGAAATCTCGTTACAACAGACGTCTAGAGAGCAAGAAAAAAAAATCGACAGACGGCAACAATTCGGACAGTAACGAGATTATTTTATGAGAATTGGTATTTTTTTTTTCTCAGGAGATTCAATTTTCTTTCATGTGGGCCAAATAACGTATGTTCAAGCCAAATACAGATTCCAAACAGAAAAAAAGTTCAACAACCGAGGGAGCAACGGTTTTCCAAAAAGGAAATATAAACTTTTCAACATAGCTTTTCAGGGAAATTTTTCAAATATTCTCGCATATTTTGGGCAGAAAAAAATGAGACAAAATAATTCAGAAGTTCCAAAATCTGCAAAGGAAATTCAAGAAAAATTCCAAAATTGAATTCGTCATACTGAATCCGAAAACCTCATTACAATGGGATTTTTAAGTACAGTTTCAACGGAATTCCTTCGGTGAAGCTCGAGATCAACGAGTACAATTTTATAACTGGACTTCAACTTCACAGCAGCTTTTTTGGCATACCGTGAGGTAACTGAGAAGAAAAAAAACTGCACTCATTTTCGCCAGCAAAACATTTGTTTCGAGGGATTGAAAATTGCGTATTACACTCGCGTAAAAATAGTAGAGCGCAATATTCGCTTACGAAATTTCTTCGAGGAGGCAACTTTCGAAACCGAGAAGAGAAACTCGCCCCGACATAAAAAACAATACTGAACTGAACATGAGAAACCTATTACGAGTAATTGAGTAAAACAGTAAAAGGTTCCCCAGATTTTCACGCCCTCCTCTGGTTGCACAGGAGAAAAAAAAAGAAACCCTGTTTATTCGAAATCTTACGAGGGGCCGAACCAAAGTTCTCGGGATACGAATGTAAATTGGCATGTGATTGAGCTTAAAAACAATTTTATTCAGAAAAAATTATTTGGCACGAGGAAAAAATGTTCCGAAATATTTTTTGGATTCATTTTAAGTTATCCTGGCAGCTTTCCACTCTTCGGTAAAAAAAAAGAGAACATCTCGCGGACATTTGCCCCAGATTTCCCATGAGAATTCTTGAAATTGACATGGAATCAATTCCAAGGGTTGTCGCCATTAATTGCTTTTTAAATGCGTCATTTTCATCAACGGCCGAGTTCACAGCCGCCACTTGGGATGAGAATGTGGCAGCTCTTGATGAAAATTTCGGAATTACTGTACCTTGGAAGACCTGGAGGCAACCCATGGAAT